TATGTACGTACATACGTACGTACGTACAATAACGTATGCATGAATACGCACGAGCATAAGAATGTACACAAACATGCGCATTAACACGAACTAGGTTTTGTACATTTCTATGCCAAAATGAAAATGTACCATTGTATGTACATACGTACCATATAATGTTAGATTTGTAGTAAAGTTACAATTACTCAAATGTTATAATTGTAAACTGCATTAACAAATTGAAGATATGGATTTCCCGCACATAGGCTAGGTCGCACATATGCACATGTTCATATAAATATGTATGTACTTATATTATGTAAAGAAAACAACGAACGTCGATGTATCGAATATCATCAAGGCGATACTTACCGAGTGGAAATCAATGTTATTTTTCGATGCATCACTTTATCGACCGGCAATTCATAATTGCAACGGCTAAGCAACGCTCTTATCAATGGGGTATGGTGTCTTTCATTTCGTTTCTTACCAGAATACAATGTGCGACGGTCGAGACAAAGATAATTTATATACATAAATCTGATCTAAGTAACACTATATGGTTAATAAGTATCTTGTTCTTAAAAAAAAATTGAGACCTAAGACGAAATCTGAAACTTTACGCTGTCACAACTTTAAAACCTAAAACTGCTTGCGCCGATGCTAATTTAATAATTAATATGAATTTGTTTTATTTTCCAACTAAACATAAAGAAGCACTCTTGTTTTATTTATAAATTTCTAATTATTAAAGCAACTGTCTCGCAAAACGCAAACAGAGGCAGGCGGCATAATTATGCATAATAAAGGGAAACAAATTTTCTAAAACTTTCTAACACAAAGTCGGACGTCAGTCGGTGGCTTCGTTATTCTTGCCAAGGAGCTCCTATCCATCCGGTGGTGCAAATAATTTATTTGCAATTTAATACCCTTTAATTCCAGACTTCAGATGGCACCTATCCCCTCCATTAAAAATGTAACTAACATGTTGCTTTTCATAAGGTTCGTTGAATCGGACACATACACATAGAGCCCTAAGCACCTTTGGAATGCGCCCCGAATTTCGAAGGGATAGCAACGCCTAGCTCAGGACCTACTGTCTTAACTCGATTCGCTCGGAGGCGAATGAGCGAAACTATGTAATATAAAAATTATTATTAATTATTATATATAAAAATTACGCTTCTAACCTTATATCTAATATAAAACTATTTGTCCTGATCAACACACAGCCCAAACCGTAAGAGCTAGGAGGCTGAAATTTTAACTGTAGTTACCTTATGTGAGTTGGGTGCACGTTAAGACGAGGTTTCGCAAGTGTGGAAAAATCGCGAAAAACGTTTGTATGCAACTTTTTTGTTTGCCTTCCGATCGGACTCAAACTCATTTTCGAAGAAATTTGTTCAAATTCATTTGAGGGGTGTTTTGCACATTTTGGAAAATTCATCCCTCCTTGGTCGAAATGTGGATCAAAAATTTAGTGGGTGAGTTTTCGCCCTCAAATTAATTTCCAAAGATATATTTTAAAATTCATTTCAGTCGTGTTTTTCACATTTTTCGAAAATCCAAATTTTTTTCGTGAAGTTTTAATTTTTCCGACTTGCTTCAAACTTATTTTCAATGCTCTACATAAGAATTTAATGTGTTTCATCGATTTGGGAAATTCCACCTGCAACAGTGGTAAATTGGCGAAAATTGGTTGTATGAAACCTGTTTGTTGACCATTCGGTTAGTTTCAAATCGTTTCAAAGCTTTCTAAGAATATTTACTTTATACGTTTCACGGGCAAGGCCGGGATATACCCGATAGTATATATATATATATATATATATATATATATATATATAAACTTTAAATATCGTGGCGAACACAAAGAAAATTAAATTTGTTGTGTCGAGTACTAAAATTTATTCAGCTATTTGCCGTTCAGCCCAGCTTCAAGATTACCAGTGGACTGGAATGACTACCAAAATTGACAATAATGAAAGAAAATGAAAAAGAAAGTTACAATTAATTCGTGAAATACAAATAATATAAATAAAAGTAAATGCAAAGGAGTGATTCCGGCACTTAAATGAGCCACGCGGAAGACGACAGGCTCGTCCACTAAACTCACAAGCCCGTCAGCCGTGGCATGGCTAACCTCATCGATGCGTGCGGAATGAGTGAGTCCATTCTACAAAGTCCATTATCGCCCAGAGCAAAAAGCTTCTTATTGGGCCTTCTAAAAAAAAAATTTTCTATAATTAAATTTATTTTTTTTGGTTTGAATTATATGTGCGTACGCGTAGAGCAGACACGTGGTCAAAGTTATAAGTAATTTGTTTAAATTTGGATTTCTAGTGAGAGGTAAGTAATTAACAAGTGTAAATTAATAACAAAATTTTTCCCTTTCAGAATATATTTAAATAAATATACAAAAATTAAAAAGCTATTAAGTTAAATAGTTGCAAATAAAATTATTTTATATTATGTATTCACTTTTTTATAATTATAAGATTGCTTTAAAAATGTCTTTTATCTTAAGTTAAATTAAATGTTATTTATTTTTAAAATACAATTTGAATTAAAATGAATATTAAAAAAAAAAAAAATAGCAACAAACATTCTTATGGGAAAAAAATGGGCATGTAACAAAAAAAGTTTCGCAAATCATATTTCATGAGAGCCTTTTGCGATATCTTTTAAGAGAGTTTTTTTAAATATTACAAAACGCTCGCTAGTCGTATTTCTTGCGACAGTCGTAAATGAAACTTTGACAGCCACAAACTGAACGACATATGATTCACATTGCTATCGTTTCCCGATATGTTTGCGAGAGTTGTGTCGGGTAAAGTCTTGCATTTTACCAGTTTGCGATATCATTTGAGACAGTTTGCTCCGCTGGGTATATACAGCGAGGGAAAGACCTAAAAGGAGTTGCATCTGTTCAGAAACAATTCACACATACTTTAAAATACCGTATCTGTCGCCGCTTACCCACCCCAGTGAGCTCTTTAGGCAGGATAAACTAGATTTTTGGGCAGCTCTAGCCGCGATCTATCGGCCAATATATATCAGGACTATCTCTAAGCGGCCATTCACAAGAAGAAGGCAATCGGCCAATATATGTCGGGCCTATCTCTTAGCTGCTATTTACGAGAAAAAGACAAAAGGATGCCAATCGGAGAGAACAGAAGACGAACTATTTCATAATTACAATTCGAACTATTTTACAATTAAAATTGATTTCACAAATAAAACTAATCGGAGTATAACTAGCCGAGAGGCCAATGTGGTGACGTTAAATAGGATATTACATACAAAACGAGTACAATTTTTTGAGGTCGACGTCCATAAAACACAATTTGTGACACTTACGAATTTTTCGACGCAACAAACATGGCGACCCAAAAACGCAGGCTTAATGAAAAACTTCAAGAATTGAAGAGGTAACTACCGCAACTTCAATCGTCGCTTGCACGGCCACTAGCAGGAAATTTTCAGCAATGCTCACAGATCAACGCTCCAAACTTCAAGAAATTCAATCCTGTGGTTTGCACCATGCCTGTTTCTCTTGCATAATGTTGTATCGGATGATCGCAAGTTCGACTTGGTGTCGGTACACTTGGACGAGGATATTGTCACCATCCAGGATCCCATCACGAATCCACCTCTGAATAACAAATACTTCTCATTGAAGCAACGGATCCTCGAAATTTTTGTGGAATCAGAGGTCTCAAAATTAAAGCGACTTCTGCAAGGTCGCGACCTGACCGGCAAGAAGCCGATGGAATTTCTTACACACATGCGTCGTTTAGCACCCGCTAATGGCTGCGAAGGCTTTATATGCACTCTATTTATCGCCAAGCTGCCAATGGCGGTTCGTCCGATAATTTCTGTCTGGGAGGAAGACGACCCAAATAAGTTAGCAAAAATCGGGGACAAGATGCTGGAAAATAGTGGAAGCGAACCGACTTCTGAAATGTCGACACAAACTGCAACTGCTGAGCAAAAACAGCAGAATATAGAAGAGGTCAGTAACAATAGCCCCAGCTTAACTGATGTTGCGGCCGCCTTGCACGCGCTTTCCCAGTAAGTCGATAAGCTGCAGAACGAATGTCGTAGCTCAAAACAGACATATGCACGCTCACCAAAACCGAGAAACGACGAGGAATGTGGGAATAAATTATCGGTCTGCTTCTACCACAGCAAGTTTGGTGGTCGCGCACATAAATGCCAACCAAGCCGCCCACGAAGCCAACAATTAAATTAGAGCGGCTGCCGTTAACTCAGCTAGGGCGGCAGCATTCCCTCCACTAGCAACCATTTAGAACTGGCGACGGATCTGCATACTAATCACATTCCTCATTAATTCTGGATCGGTGCTGTCAGTTGTGCCTTGCACAGTGACAAACAGAAAACTACAAAAAGGTAAGCTGCAGTTCTATGCCGCAAACTGAACCATAATACAAACATATCGCAACCTACACCCAGAGCTCGACTTGAGCGTGGGTCGTGCTTTAAAGTGGTCATTTATGTTGCATTTGACGTTATCGGCAGCACCGAGGGTTTACTTAGTTGGTTGCGTACGATATAATCGGCCACGCCGATTTTTGTCATATGGTCAGTGTATGTGGGGTGAAGCTGGGCCCACGGCGGAGCCCAAATTTTTGAAGGGTGGCAACGCCAGACTTGCAATCCTCGGCGCCAAAAGCGACGATTGCTATTGGCCACCCAGTTCGCTCTTAAAGAGAATATAAGGAGAGTGGTTCGCATGCCCTTGGCCGTCATTTGTGCCATTGACCCAAAAAAATGCAGCCATACAGATGGGGAGCAACGGTGCCCACCTCGCCAATGTATGCGTGTTCCGAAATTCGGCACCGATGATGTTACTGCCCAAATGTACGAGGAGTTCGACTTTGTCAGCGGTCTACAGCGGACGTGCCGGCTCACAGTTAAGAATTTTTGGAAGTTCGATATTTTTTTTTTTGCCGGCCACGGAGCATGTGCTTAACCAAAAAGAAAAAAATCAAAGGGCATACATTTGTTCATGACGGGCTTTCTTTATTATTTAATTGCAAAGATAATTCCTTATGTGATTCGTATTGCAAAAGAAATAGTGCCCAAGAGCGATAATACGCGAAACAATAATACACCCGAAACACACTGTCGTCATTTAAAACTACTATAAAAGCGAAACTTTGTTAGAGCAGCCGCAGCCATTCTGTGGCACACACCGTTTGAATCCCGCGCCGGAGAGCGTTATCCAGATCAACCGATATTCACGGGCCGGATTTTCAAAGCACGACGGAGAGACGAGCCATTACGGACGGGACTCACACGACGAAGAGGCACGGCAAGACCACGCCCATATCATCCGAGTGAGTCTGTTCCATTTCGTGCCTCCTCGCCTGAGTAAACGGCAGAGTCAGACGCAGACTTCCTATTGTGCTCCCTGAAAGAGAACCGTTTTTTTTTTGGAATTTTTAACTCCAGTTATTTTGCTATTAAATACAAAAAAGAAAATTACTCACGACTAGTTTAAATTAAGTAAAGGAAAGGGCCAAAAGATTTCTGCGTCTGGCAAGTAAAGAATAAAATTAAAAGGTTTAGATTGTGGTCAACTTATGCACGAGTGATACCCACTTATGCGTATATATATATATATATATATATATATATATATGTTACGCATGTGCCCCCCACCCAGAGAGCTCTTTAGGCAGGCAAGGTAATAAGCGTTTTGACAAACAACGCCTTTCGTTGGAAACACATATGTATACACGCATTTATTTTAGCGGGTACTTGCTTCCCATTGGTGCAATAAATACCTGTGTTTATATTTCTCCCCTTGTTTTCCTTTCCTTTGTTGACTGGCAATAATTTCTGGCGGTTTTTTTTTGTGGGCTCCGGTATCATACGAAGGTCGCCATAAGAACAAGAAATTCTGTACAAAAAAAATGGAAATTTAAAATATTTAAGATTAATAGAAATTGTTACAAATATGGAATGATGCAACGCGTTATAGGTAATCGTTAAAGCGAAGTTGAAAGAAGGAAATAAATTGAAACTTAAAACTTATATCCATTATTTTAAATATAAGAATATACCAGCTTATCGTATGCACCTGGATTAAAATGCCGGAAATGTTCGCGAGTACGAAATTATAAATAACAGCTTGAAGATAACCTGCAGGGGAATACGAAATAAGATTAAATGTTAATAACGATAAGAAATGCAACCAATTATATACCGTATCTGAAGAGAAAAATGTCCGGCTAAATTTTCTTTGATGGGGAGAGTTGGCATAACAGCCGGCACAGGCTGATGGCCATCTAATGGCAGAACGTGGGAGACGAGTAGGTGATCGTCTCATGGTTGGGTACGCTGGGTTCGGAACCGGGGCCCGATCTGGAAGAGTAAGGTGGATAAATAGTGTTTTTTGTTAATTTATATTGAGTGTCTCACCTTTGTTGTTTACATGTTCATAGTTGTTACAGCTGTTTATTTTGTTCATGAGTTAGAAGTTCCGATTGCTTGACGTTATCGATATGTTGTTCGCATTGCATAGTGTTATGTAAGTCTGTTTTGCTACAGGCGTGTAGCTTCATTGTTATCGATTGTGCGGACTGCGGGCCAGGGATGGGACTACACCCAGAGAAACCGATGAGCCAGCCGGCGCGGCCCACCGAGAAACAAGCAGTTCCGTAACATTTATCATTGCTGACGTGCAAATGGTAAAATTTGGCGCTGACTTTCTGTTACAGTCAAATTTGCTCATAGATATCAAGCAACAAGGTTTTATCTCCACACGAAACCCCAAATAATGCACGAAAATCACACAGTCATAGCCCTCACGCAAAACATACAGAGGCTGTCAACATGGTCAACAACTTACACAAAACTCGCCCATCACATGCAGTTTGCCACTACATCATCACAACTGGAGCACCAGTAGCATATCGTCCACGGCGACTGATGGGAGAGAATAATTGGCATCAGCGAAACCACAAATCCATCAACTGATCGACAAAGGAATCTGTCGCTATTCCAAAAGTCCATGGGCAAGCCCGCAGCATATGGTAGCAAAAACCAGTGATGGTTGGCGGCCTTGTGGCGATTACAGGAAGCTAAACGCGATAAAATCTCCTGATCGTTATCCGATACCTCACATATATATTTTCACAACTTTAGACTTGGAACGCGCATACTATCAGATACCGATGCCACCAGAAGACATTGAGAAAACAGCAGTATGCACTCCGATTGGTTTGATTGAATTTGTATACATGCCATTTGGACTCAAAAATGCAACGAAACCTTTCCAGCGTTTCATAGACCAACTTTTCCGAGATATCGACCTTGTGTTCTGCTACATAGACGACATCTCGATAATGTCAAACTCAGTTCAGGCGCATAAGCTTCAGGATTATCGACAAAAATGCAATTTTCAAATTAAATGAGATATTGTTCTTAAGTTACACAGTTAATGGCAGCGGTATAATTTGCATTCGCAAATTGGAAAGCCACCATTGCAAATGCAACCACTCTCGCTCATCCTTCTCCACACGCCGATCTGACTCGGGATGCCTCCGACTTAGCCTTCGGTGCGGTAATGGTGCAATACAATAGAGGTACACGACGGCTTTTTTACTTACTACTTTTTTTTTCGAAAAAAACTAAGCGCAACGGAAGGCAGTCATAGCACATATGACAGGGAGCTACTAGTAACCTATGAAACAATTAAGTATTGCAAGCACATGCTAGACGCAAGGGTTTTCGTAATAAGAACTGATCACACGCTGCTGATATACGCATTCGCCCAACTACGCCAATTAGGATTTATCTCCCAGTACTCCACAAAGATCCTACAAGTAAACGGCAGCAGACGTGCCTGCCAGGATCAATGTAACGACGATGCCGACTACGATCGACACAAGGAGCATTAAAGCGGCCCAAGCAACGGACAGTGAACAGATACGTATTTTTAAAGGAGAGACGTCGTTACAACTACAGTCAATGCAAGGCAATGTGCAAACTTTTCTGTACTGCGAATTACCGACAGCAATTCCTAGACCATATATTATAGAAAAATTTAGATGCACATATTTTCAAATGTTCACCGACTCTCTCATCCTACTGGCAGGTCTACAGTCCAACAAATTTGTGCTAATTATGTTTGGCCAGCGATGCGTAATGACATATTGGAATGGACCATATACAACTCGAGATTGTCGTGATGCCCTTGGTAGGTGATTACAGGAATTGCGTGATGATGATCGACTGGTTCTCTCGCTGGCTGGAGGCAGTGCTGAATTATTATACGGGTGCACACTTTACCCCTCCAACGAATATTTCAATGTCCTGAGCGCATTGTTGAATCAATGGCAGTTTGTTAGTCAGTTTCGTACCAACAAGTCCGACTCCAGCTTCGCATCATAGCAAGTCGAAAATCTCTCTGCACAAAGCCATACATATGCTCTCTAGTATTCGTCAAGACTGACGCGGAAAAGCAGCTGTTGGTGCTTCCATACTCAGGACCGTATGAGGTGATATCCATCTTCGTCGTGCGGGTCAATGGCAAAGAATTGTATTGTCGATCGACAGATTAAAACCTGCATTTATGGCTATTACCATTCCTCCCAAATGCTCGGTAACCAGTGGGGTAAACGTCAAAAGCCCTGCCTTTTAACCTTCTGACATTCGGCGATAAAGTCCGTCCAAAGGAAGGAATAACCTAGCGGTCAGAATAAGTTTGTAGAAATAGAGAGATGTAGAAATGCGAGTAGTAACACACCGCGACATATATCAACAGTTGTGCACCTTCTATTAGTCGATGATATTTTTCTTAAGGTCCGTCATTGCCAATCCATTATGCTCAAGAGACCGACCTTACAAATGTTGCAAGTGGAAGGGTCCCCGCCCTGCCAGCAATGGCTCATGCGGATGTCGCGCGTCAAATGGCGAGGCAATACGCCGGAATGGGGTTAGATGCGCAATGGGTATTTAATAGGGGTGTGTAGAAGAAACAGTTCGCCAGCGCGTATTGTATTCTGTTTGATATATGGGAACAGGCTCTGCCTAGCTTGTTGCCGGCGCTTAGGAGCGGGAAACGGGCAGTGGCGTGGACACACCCACGTAGAAAAACAACAAACGTTGGGTTAGAGGTCGGCTTGCCTTGGAAGGTGATCGTCAGTCTGATGGTCATTATGCCCTCCATGGTGGGATCCTAGGCATGGAAGTTCGTTGTGCATTGCGGCATTGCAGAACTGGTCATTGCGACAGTAACAGCACTTCCTGAATCCAACCTCGGTCAAAAGCCGATAGAAGGTCTCTCACTTCTGGGATGGCGAAACGGCCTGGAAAGGGACCAAGAAAGCGGAGGCAAGGTATTGCTGGTCTGCCTTGGACACGTGATGAGACGGGAAAGACCTCGGACTTATCTAGGTAAAGGACCCAAATAATTGCAAGGAGTTGCGACAGTGCTTCGGGATGACATCGTGGTAAGTGTGTTTCGAGCCCAGTCGATCAGTTGACGGCGCTCCTAAAGAATGGAAATGGTCGTGGAATGAGGATCAGAAGCATGCGTTTCGTCAGTTCGAGAAGACCCCAACGACTGCCCCTACTTTAGCTTGTCTCGGCTTTTTCTTTAGGTTTTTCTTGAAGACTGACGCGGGCGAGAATAGCCTCGATACAGAGCTGACGCAGACAATAGAGGGGCAGAACGGATAATAGCCGCGATTCGAGAGCATACCACAATTTATCATAAGTCAACGGAGTTCGTTAGACCTTAGATATCGCTGGCGATCAATCCCAACGGGACAGACTCGGTAGGTTTCAGTCTGGCATTTTTATGCAGGGTAGAGAACCTACGAAGACAATAATGGTCGCCTTCGCTGGAATGACCGGCAGTATCAACCTTGCAACGCTATTTAGGGCTTTATCACCAATCTGGCCCAACATCGTGTATCTCGCCAAGACAATCGGACGCAAGAAACGGATTATCAATGCGGAGTCAGCTAAGTAATGGTTATGTTTATAAATAAATTAATTTTGCAGAAGGACTTAGAGGTTTTATCTTTTTCAGCCGACGAGGTGGTTACGACTACGGCAGTGACGGTACGGAGCCGGTTTCTGAACCTAATGCTGGAGGCCTTCAGCACGACGGCTGAACGAGTATATACCATTTCGTCAGTTCTTCCAGGGTATGTACTTGACGTTATGGGTCATGGGACTCATTATAAAAGAAATCCGAATCTGCCAGGCTCGGTACCTACGGAAAAACTTCCAGGTGACCGAGGGTCAGCAAGACTGTCACAAAAATAACTGTTTTTATGGAAACAGTAACGGCGTTGAAAAAGGGCATAGCATCCCTCCAACAATTCCTAGCTAAAGGCATGATCCGTTGAACTTATCTTGAGTTGATTTGAGTTTCTGATCTCAACTTAACAATAACTTAATAGAGACCGAATTTACCGATACTGCACCATTTAATTCCTTTACGGCCGCCGGAAGTGCTCTCTAAAAATTCACTTTCATAGCAGTAATCGTTTTCTGCATCAAGTTCTCCAACTACGTTACTATAGTTAGTTGCGCTTGGATTTTGCAAATTTTGCTGTGTAACATTATTTACCCCCTGGCGCTTTTGGCCAAACATGCGTTCAGAGGATGGTAAAGATGGTATTCTATGCCGCTTACAATAAACTGATAAAGGAAGACAACGCCAAGGATTGTCTTACGGTTGGTTAACGCTAGACGAATAAGAATTAGATGGGAACCAAAGTTTTGGATCACAGTTTAAAAATTGTAAGGACAAAAGTAGAAATTGCTTTTTTACTGATTCTATTCAATGTTGCAAATTTTGATACTACGGGGACTAAATACATTAGTATTCTAAGATAGGGATCGTGACTAATCGCTTTATGAATCCAATTAAATTTTTTGCCACACTGCCAATGGTAAAGATGGAGAGATTCTATTGTGAACCGGTTCTCAAACGAATTTTAACAGATATCTTTCCTATAACAGTTTTCCGTCAATTTCCAAATAAGCTAATTTTCGTTATGTTCTTGAGTAGGGCTTTGAAAATAAGTTTGGAGCGAATTGGCCAAAACATAAAATTTCGCTCAAAAAAGAGTGTACTCTCAGTAAGATTCTTAGAAATTTAACCTGAAACTTAAGCCATCTCATCTTTGACCATAGAAAGATGGATTTTTCAAGGAGTGTGAGGTACCCCTCAATTGATTTTGAAAACAATTAAGAGGTTCTAGTCGGGAGCTCCCGACTAAAGAATACCCTGAACCCTTTTATTCCAACACCAAATAAATTAATAAAAAAAAGTTCCCTTGGCAGGGCTCGAACTCGCAACTGACCGCATTACTTGATGTCGACTCTACTCAACAGCCACACCAGCAAAAAAAATAATTAAGTACTTATGATAAAAAAAGGAACTAAAATAACATTACAAAAAAAAGATGCAATTACCATGCTGTTAGCATGCGAAGCAGACGCGCATGAATGTGTGTGTGTACATGTATACAGAAATTCTTAAAGCTGCTGCCCCATTCAATTGCGCAGTTGCATATAACTTTGGTTTTTCTTAACCGATCTTTATGAAACTTTCTACAGTTTATCTTATTGTTCCATAGAAATTTTTGTATTCTGAAAAAGTCAATTGCATTTAAATTGTGGCTTAAATTGGTTGGCAATACAAGTTGGGTTATTAATTTGATTTATAGCTGTAGGGTGGTAGCGGGGAGGTGGCGATAGGTATGAAATGAAAGATACTTGAAATATCTATAATGTTCTAGAAGCAACATAACATGTTTGGTGGCTCTAGCTCTTATTATTTACCCAATTTGCTAAAAAAAACAGGATGTCGGTATCGATTTTTGAATCGATTGCTTGGAAACGGAGCAAGTTATCGATTATCGGAAACCAACTCGATATGCGCGGGAACTAGGAGCACCTACATCTAAAATTTCAATTTATTTCTAGCTCTTATAGGTTCTGAGATCCTTGCGTTCATACATACGGACGGACGGACGGACAGACAGACAGACATGGCTAGATCGACTCGGCTATTGGTGCTGATCAAGAATATATATACTTTATGGGGTCGGAGATGCTTCCTTCTGCCTGTTACATACATTTGGATTTTGCACAAATACAATATACCCTTAAACCCATTTTTAATGGGTTCAGGGTATAAAAAAAGATCTTGGAAAATGAGCTTGAGGCCGATCGAAAAACAAAACTTCATGCAAAAATGTTTTGTAATTTTTCCATAATTTGGGTGCACCTCCACCACATAAGGAACCTACAGTGATAATTTTAGATTCCTATCTCCAACGGTTTGGTCTGTGCATTGATCTCTAATCAATCAAAGCAAACAGTTTTATATATAGAAATGACTAACACAAATAATATAAAAATGATTCATTCTATCATCAAGCAAATTGCTAAATATTTACATCAGTTCGCAAAAAGTAGCTATTTAAAGAATATCCCGCATAGTTTATCACCAGAATATACTTTTTTGCTTGTAACAATAATAAAGGCAACCTACTTCCTTTTAGTGTTTATAACTTAGTTGTTATGCTTAAGTTTCGCTTACCCTTAAGGAAGTCATTAAAATGTTGTCACATAGTTTGCACAATGCAGACAGAAAATCAGCTCACTTTCGTTGCTTATACCTTCTTAATGTGATTGTTTACTTGTTAGCTTAAAACTTATTATTGTATTAAATTTCAGATAAAAAATTGTCAAAAGTCTTCAATTAAATTTTACGACTTTTAGCTGCAAGCCTGCTAAGATCCATGAATAATAATAGTGGTTTGTTAATTGTAAATAAACCAAAATGAAAACCAAAAAGAAAAATAAGAAATATTTTTTTTATTTAGTTAACAAAGCTTTACATTTACATTTACATTACATTTTTAAACAATTATAAAATTACGATTTATGTGAACTGTTGAACATACCCCCACACCAGAAACATAAAAATATGCGCACAACTTATTATAGAAATTATTAATGGCCAAATGTCCGGATACCTAGCCGGTGGTTCTATTATTAAAGAAGCAAATAAAATGGAAATCATTAAAATTTCGGAGATTTTTATGATTAATCCTATCCAATTTTTTCGAATCATAATATTCTGGTTAGTTTCAAAATAGCTACACATGAAAATCAACTGAAAAATAATCATTAATGCTAATGTTGGAACAACCAAATTATCCTTCTTCAAAAGTGGTGTCATACTAAAAACTGACATCTTAAGAAACCAAAGCATTTCATTGGGCCACCAGGCAAACAAGCAAATTGATGGCAATAAAATAAGTAAAATGGACTTCTCGTGGACCTGAAAAAGATGTTTTAGGCGCCATGGTTGGAAGCGTAATATACATATATACTACATACTTGAAACGAAAACAGGAAGAATGCTGCGGCCGTATTAAATAGAGTTAATATGAATGTGTATTTACTTCGTCTGCAAAAAAGTTGCACATTAGTTGGTAAGACAGCCAATAATGTAGTTCCTATGCAAATTAAAGCCATCTCGTGATTAACAATGTGTTTTCTGAAAACAGAACGTAAAAATTAATACATAGTTTTTTTAATTAACAATAGTTTAAACTCACTTCAATTTATAAATAACATTAATACTGCACCAAAAATTTGCAACTTTGTCTTCAAATACGCCTCGTCCGAGTGGAAAAAGACGGTATAAAACTTGTGCAGTTGCGTCAATTGAACTTAACCAAGGATACCATAAAATAAAAAAAGTTGCTAGCACCGTTGTCGCTATCATTAAAAGCTTTGTAACAAACAATCGTAAGCTGTTAAAAGAAAATAATTATACACATTTAATATTTGATTAGTTTCTATTCTGAAAAAAATTGTATGTATATCACTGTTAAATATTATTAAAAGGATTTAAATATCAATTTCCAAACGACAAAATATACCTTCTTAAAACTAAAGCAATATATAACAGTATATAGCAAGCAATAGTAACCAATTTAGTTACTAAGAAGGCTTTTTGCTTTTGAAACACCAAGCCTAACAAACGAAAACCATAGTCATGAGTTGCTAATGCTGAATCAGTGGTGGAAATTATTTTTGCTGATTTCATAATAATGAATAGAGCATCCAAATGTTATTCGCAATGAACGAAGTTGGTATAATTATTGAACAAAGAGGTTGGCGCCGCTTATATATAACTAATAATTAGCTAATGAAAATAAACATATATATATTTTTTTTTATAATTTTGCAATTATTGTAAATATAAGGATCGAATTTTTTGACGAGCCACAAAAACACAAAAGTGTGGTTCGTGTATATAAAGAAGGAATATTTTTTGCCATTTTAGACTATCCAGCAAGAGCTCGAGATATGTTTGTTTGTAGCCTAAAACATTGCAATAACTTTAGCTTTGCTTCAATAGGCTTCAGCAGCTAGCCTAAACAAATTCATGCAAATAATACGTTTTTTCTTATTTCAACGAGAATAATAGGGAAATTAGGCTAAGTTAAAACAGAGTATGCGATGACTATCTATTTGGCTGTAGGACAAACTTTGGCCAAGCGAGTTGAAATTAAATTTTGATGTTGAAGCTACACAAGAAAAAATTCAAAAAGTAAATTTATTTCATATGGTATTAAAGAAGAATATTTTTTTACAAAATTAAAACAAATTCTTTATAAATCAAGTATACAAATGGAACGTAATTGTTAAATAAAAAATGTTTAAGTTAATTTATACCTAGAATATGAATTTAAAAACACTATACAAAAATGAAATAAATAAAAATTAATTAAATTAAAGACGTATGTGCTGGGCAAACAGCCCCACAATATTGCAGGAATTTTGTGGCATAGCTTATAATACAGTTGTATCCAAGACATGTTTTTATACCCTGAACCCATTAAAAATGGGTATAAGGGTATATTGTAATTGTGCAAAATCCAAATGTATGTAACAACAAACAGAAGCAAGCATCTCCGACCCCATAAAGTATATATATTCTTGATCAGCATCAATAGGCGAGTCTATCTAGCCATGTCTGTCTGTCTGTCTGTCCGTCTGTCCGTATGTATGAACGCAAGGATCTCAGAACCTATAAGAGCTAGAGAAATTTAATGTAGGTGCTCCTAGTGCCTGCTCAGATCATGTTTGTTTCCGATAATCGATAACTTGCTCCGTTTCCAAGCAATCGATAAAAATCGATATCGATATCCTGGTTTTTGGGCATTTTTTTATATAATAAAAGCTAGAGTGACCAAACTTGACATATAGCTTTTAATATAGAATATATATATGTATTTCATGTTGGAAGAAGAGGGTTCAGGCAAAGATAATATAAACACTAAGATGAGTAACGCCATACAAGAAAATGCTACTATGCAGCTTGATTTTTTGAACATTGAGAACGAAAACGAAACCTGTAGCATTGCGCTCTCACAGCCGAGAGAACGAAAAAGCTAAAAATAGAATTTGCTCTCAGCTTCGGCTCTGTGAGGGCCGTGCAAGCAATTATGTTTGTTTGCGTGTGAATATACATATACATATTTGAATGTGTTGTTATCCACTGCTCTGGCAAAGTCTCTGGCTGCCAAAGAAACAATTTTCTTAGTTTTTTAGCGCAGATCACGACCTACCCAAAATTTCTGTTGATATATGAATGCATTTCGTGTACTGAGGTTGGCTCCGTACAATATATGTATTTTTAAGTCGATGCAAATATTTATGTAATTTTTTATATTTGAAATTATTAATAAAATTATTATTATTTTTAAGTAATACAAAATAAATTAAGGAAATAAAAGTGCAAATTTGTTGTTTTCAAAGATACATTTAATTAATTTGAATTTCTTTTTATTTTATAATTTTTTGTTCGAATTATAAAGAACAAAGTACACAGGGAACACCGCGAGGAGGCCATTATAATTATAATGGGGTCATAACTAAATATGACCTTCGAGTCGACTTGAAATGTAATTGTATTTTTAGCACTCTTTTATTTCTTAATTGGAGAATAAAAATAATATTTTAAATGAATTTAAAGAAATGATGTAAATATTTGCATCGACTTAGAAATACATATTTTCTGCGGAGCCAACTTCAGTACACAAAATGCATTCATATATCAACACAAATTTGGGGTAGGTCCTGATCTGCGCTAGAAAACTAACAAAATTAATTTCTTGCCAGCTAAAGCCAGAGCAGTGAATATCAAGACATACATACATACTTTAAAGTTCTTATGCATGTATGATTCACGCATACAACGAAAGGTGCACGCTCGCTATTGGCTGAGACAAGAACTTTTCTCAAGTATACACTGTCCAAAAAGAAAAGTGAAATCAATCTATGTGTGCTATTTTCTTAACATAGTTATTGCGCAAGAAGCGCCTTGTGTAAAAATTATCAAAGTTCTTAAATTTTCCTGTACAATTAATCGTTAATATCTAGGGTAATATATCATTTAAATAAAGCATGAATTTCATGGATAAAGCACAAGCACTTTGCGTCGATCGTAAGTTCTAAACTTTTTCGCTCAATCTACTTTGAAAACGAAGCGACGCAAAGCAGCATCGACCAGCTTTGCTGAAGGCAGGCTGGCGACTAACTTCGTAGCTCATGTCAGCATCAGCAAGCCGCGACTTCGGCATTCGTTCGTCTGGTCTTTGGAGAACGAACCAGTCGGCAGGCATGCCGTACGAAGCCTCAAAGGCCAGATGAAAGGCCAGGCTAGAAATTTTGCGTCGCATTCAAATGTATGGGCGTTACTCATCTTAGTGTTTATATTGTCTTTGGTTCAGGGTATCCCCTAGTCGGGAGCTCCCGACTAGAACCTCTTACTTGTCTATTCTTGTAAGTACCATTTTAGTTTTTATCAATTTAGTCCCACTTATGGTAAGTCTTTTTATATATGGAGCTAAAAATGATGATCAAAGTTGACTATAATTTTCCAAAAAGAATCTGATTTTTAGGCGTACCCGCACATTCTTCATTATTCATGTTTATATTAAATATTTAAGATTATTTGCTTGGCAGGGAATAGGGCAGGCTTGCGTGCTCCTTGGATGTGAATAATACTGTCGGCCAGTCTGGAACACTCAGCGTAAATATTTGTGGCGAAATACTTTCAGTATTCTTTATTTGGTTTTATTAAATTATTTAATTGCCCTTTTTTTTATGTCGACACCGGCGCTATCCCGTTGAACACAAAGTCAAAAACTATCTGCAATGGGAAAAGCTGATCGGTGCAGAAAAATTAGCTCACGCATACCTTCAAATCATGACAAAAGTTTTAGTCACCGAAAACAGCTTGAACGGTTGAAGCGCAATAATGTGCGACTTTCTAAATAATTTAGAAATATTGCTGTTCAAAGAAAGACAACTATTTAAACAACATCCCAATCAGCTTGGTAACTCCTTCGAGATATACGTCTTTTTTGTCGCATGACACACTAGGTTATTCCGCATCAGTGCGTTTTAAAACCACAAAGCACATAGACGAAGTTATGCGTTGTTTTCGACGCGTCATGTGGGACATTGACTAAAATTGCGTAGAATGATATTCTTATTGTTTGAACGATTATACAAGAGGAGCTGCATTCGACTCACCTTTAATATAGACTACAAATATGCGATGAGAGCTGACATCAAAAAGATGTATGGGCAGGTTATGGTGTATGAAGTAGACTAAAATTTCCCATCTGTCTCTATGAAATCCTTCAGGCTAAACACTACAACGGACGGTACTGCGCCTGCTTTGCCAGTACGGTGTTAGTGTTAGTGATACGAGCGAGCCATCACACCCTGAAGCTGCAGACGTTATCGAGTTTGAACTAACCAAATGGTTTTCGAATTTTCCTGAATGCTAGCCGATAAAATTCTAAGAGTCTGACACAACTAAAACACTTGCCGTGTTGTGGTTATCAAATGAAGATGCTTTCCAAATGAGGATAGACGATTTATTCATGGGCCCCAGAGCGACAAAACGGAATATTATCTCGGTGAGATTGCAGCTATTTGACTCCAAAAGCTCTGACTTCACAAGTAAGACCTGGATGAGTCTATATGTACGCAGCTATAGTTGTTGTTGACATATGAATCTAAGATATTTGAGTAGAATTGAGTGGCTGAAATCAAGAAAGCTGAATGGCGCCATGTACCTATAAAGCAAAGCCCAGCAGATATCGTTTCTAGAACCTGCGATGTTGATTATATTCTTCTGCACCGATTTGGTTTAATGGCCTTTATTTTTTAAGGACCCACGAAAATCCTGGCTAGTAAATATCTGATACCAGATGAGATGCGTACCTTAGATACACGCAAATATATACTGTGGGACCAGCAGCTATGCTACACCGACCAGATATATTGGAAAGGATCGATAGTTTTTCTTCGATAGGCTGCTGAGAGTTTTTGTTTATGGGTTTCGCTTTATTGAAAAATGTAAAAATCGACCATTACAACTTGAAAACCTTTGCTTCGCCTCCAAGGCGGTTCACTTGGAACTTGTATCTGACTTATCCACTAATACGTTTTTAAAGACATTTCAAAGGTTCGTCGGCCGTTGAGTCCCACAGACAGTCCATTGCGACAATGCAAGGAACGTTGTTAGATCATGTTTCTAGTTTCGGGAGTTAAGAATTCGAATCGAAAAAAACGGCGAACGCACAACTCGCCATTTCTCATCAAAAAGCGAATGCGTCCACACCGCCAATAGCTCCGCACTTTGTGGGGAGGCAGGTGTGAAGACTGGAAAGCACTTATTCCAAGCGTCGGCGAGGCTTTAATGCCAGGCCACCTATTGGTGGAAGGCCTATTAAGGGATCTGGCGGCAAAGGCGACCCGGACTAGCAGGGTCCTTCTTGAATCGATGGCGAACTTTTTCATCGCTCGAGCAATAGTTCTGGTGATGTTCAAAGGAGTGTGTTCTCGGACTCCAAGCGCGGACCACGTGGCAACATCGCCTGTCAAATGTCTTCGTGGAAGAGTTGGTGGTTGTCGTAGAGGGCAAATTAAAGACTCTTTTCGCCAAAAATAAAACGCCTCGTAAACGAAGTATTAGCGAACTGAAACGTCATAAGTAAAGGACCAGTTGACGTTATACACATGTTCACACTCGAATTCAAAACAAATAAAGGGATAAAATAAAGATTTAAAGACAAAACATGATAGGACGTAACAGAACTTTTCAAGGATGTAACACATTGGAATACAAATTAAATTCTAGATAATAAACTAAAGTCCATGTATGAAGCAGTTCCAGTAGGGGAAGGAGGTCCATATCGGCAATTGAAGATAATTAAAATATAGTTAAAATTCATGACAGACTTTTCCTACGGATTGTAATTGACTTCCGTAAATATAAAGCACGGCTTTCATTGTAGCGAGGGGGTTGTTAACATCTTCGTCCACTATCAAAGGATGTTCAATCTTGACGAATGAAAACAAATAACCGCATTGTCTTAGCCTAGCATTAGCATTGTTCTCAGAGCTCCCCATGCGCGCGCTGGTTGTCCGAAATATAATTCGGTTAGACTAATACAAGTGAAAGGGCTAGCTGCGCTTTTAGAATATTTTTGAACTTAATTGATTTTGATTTAATTTGAATAAGAAAGCAGAACTTTATCGCTTCGTCCTAAATATATAATATTCTCATAATTAAAAAGTTTGTAGGGTCGGATCTGTTACCCGCTGCCTGTTCAAAATATTTGCACACAACATAATTTATACAATTTCAATGGGTGCGGTGTATAATAAATACAAAATAAATACAACAGACTAGGAAATACTCTAAGTTCATTTGTAAATTTTTTCTTTATGTGCATAACATGAACAAAAAGGTACACATACACACGTATCTTTTTGGGCAACCGTTTGTATGTATCCAAAAGTAAAATATAGTATATAAATGTGTACTTATACTTTATACTTTTATATAGCAGAACCGCTTTTATACAAATGTTTTATAGTTAATTTAGATAGTTTAGAAAATACAATTTGGTGAAGTCTTAAGGCATTACTTTCTTCAATGCAAAAATTAATTTTTAACCATGTTTATAAGATTGCTGTTTTACATATATATATGAAGCATGGTGAGACCTTTAAATTCAAATCGGTCAAGATATTTTGAAGATCCAAGCTAGTTTATCATACTCGTATTTTATCTACGAGCTATCGTTTCTATGGGAAAAAATTTTCGAAGTTAAGAAAGACATGCAAGAAGCATGTTGTAACAAGTAAATGCCAAGTTTGTTAAGAACATCGAGGGAAAAACAAAAGTCGCTCACTCAAAATTTAATTTTCGACCTATTATTTCTATGGCATATACATACCTGTAATAGGTAAGCTGATGCAAAAATTCAATAAGCATGAAATTGAAAAAAGTTTACATAGAAACTAAGACAGACACTCGGCTTGTCGGTTGGTAAAAATCAAGAATATTGATCACAAGAACATTAGTGCTTATCCATTTTGGCATGTCTGACTGATAAGAGTGACAGCTGAACGTGAAGCATCGAGAGCCGAAAGATCAGTGACAGGACGTAGTTCGCCAAGTCCATCATCGCTACGTAGAAAAATTGACGCAAGGGACTGCTTTGCAATTTTTTCTTGATTTGAAGACTATCTATTGTATGCTTAATAATAGGATTGAGGATTGTAAAGATCAAGCTCTTGAGGAGAATACATAATTCATAAATACGCTTTAAGATTAATACCTGTTTTGTGAAAAGCATACACTCAGTAGGTATGCAAAGAACGGCAGAGCGTGGTATAATTCCATTTGTTTATAATTCAACGCCAATGTGAAGGTAAGAGCGGCAATATTGTTTCTGTTACACAGTAACGCAGCGACGGCTAAAGCTAAAAATCCAAGTGATATATTGTTGTACTGAAAGTGTCCATTGTCGATGAGAATTTGCCCCGGGTATATTGCAAGAAGTACAAGCAAATGATGTTTCAAATTTTTCTCAAACGTGAGATCCATGCAAACAGAAATAGCTATTATAGCAGGCATATAAATCAAAATGTCCGCTGCTAAAACTGTCAGGCGCATAAAACTCTTGTGTTCCTTTGTTTCAATACCCCTACTGGTGTGTAGCTCAACATAGCTGTAATTGAGTAATTTAGCTACACGGCCAGTTAGGTAACTGTGATAAGCTGTAAGAGGCGGATAATCTAAGCCCCAATACTGCAAGTCGTTATGTGTACCATTAGTATACCAATTTTTAACATCTAAATTTGTTGTCACTTCTTGCCAGTGCCGCTGAGCTTCATAATCCCCAAACATCGGCGCTTGGTTAAATCCAGAGTAGGAGTTCATGGATATAATAGATCTTAAGGCCAATCCGCCAAAAATTGCAGCTATCATTTCCGAATACATATTGCCTAATGCAATGCTCTTATTTTTAATTAGACATAAATATGCACTTAGTGATGCACCGATTAATGTAATTACGATTTAGTACTCGATATTTTTAAACAAATTTTCTTGTACCAAATACTCTCGATATTTACTTGGAAGTAATTAAATCGAATGATTGGCCGTCAATCCTTAAAGCATCTTTTCAGTATTACCGATTTTTAAGTGTGGGCCTGTTCTAGCCCATTTCTAAAAGAGGTTTATATGTTGGGAACATCACTATTTCTATATATTTTTCCTTTCAAATGTCATATAATATGGCCTCAAAGTAGGGAATCCACTAAACACATTCCTAACAAGGTTTAAAAATCTTTATATGCAAAAACATAAAGATTGGTAACATTTAATATTAAAATTTCAAGAGACCGCTTCTTCGTATGCTGTTTAGGGTAATGATACTTTCATATTTTCCATAACAATCATGCGAACATCTACTTATATTGAAAATGTAACTTTTTTGCAGATGTAAAAAAAAATGAAGCTGCTTGACTTGGACAAGGAAAATATTGTTTACAATAAAAAACGAGTTTAAACAGATGATGTATGCAATGAGTTAGAATTACAGCATAAATATAATTAATAAAAATTTAAAATTAAAAAAAAATTATGAAGATTACAATTGAAAAATTTATTAGACCGCCGCGACAATTGACAAACTGTCTTACTAGACTTGGTCATAATTATTGATTGAACAAGACATTGCTCAGTAAAGAAATTTTGCAAAATGGCATTTAATAACTCTGAAACCTACAGCAGCTTTCTGACAAATAATATATTCTCTCATGAACAATCACTTTACGTTCGGCAGAACGGATAAGTATCTGCGCAAGCTCTAATATTGCTTATAATACGCACCTATACGCTCCTATTTCTCATACGTTGCTCCACAGCGAAGTCATTATAATTTTTGATTGTTTTTATTATACTGCACGGCTCCTAATTTACAAATTGCAGTTGATTAGGATCAATTAAAGGCAATTTACTAACTAATGGAGGCTTCACTCCCAAAATACATAGTTGAAACATAAAGTTAAAATAAACTCAAGTTGAAAAGTCTAGATAAGATAAGTTTTAAATCTAACCATAATCACATCCAACCACATCCAACTAAAACACACTGAAATACTTGTATAATAATACAATGAAATAATAAGTCTGATTCCTAATAATCAAGAAGTTCACACAGAGCGAATTTTTCGCATACATTATAACGACTGAGGGTAAACTTAAATGAAAAGCACAATCTTCAGTTTTACCATTTACCGATACAAAAACAGCGGTAAATTTTTATCCGGCTCTCCTTCTGCAGCCTATGCTTGGCGAAAAGCCACCAACAATGAACACGGAAAACCCCATGGGAAACATGGCAAAATCCTCTTTTGATTTCCTGAGCCTCAAGGATACTAAAAGAATTTGACGAAAAAGTCGACAATCTAGGATCACGTGCAAGGTTTCGGTATCAGTGATAACAATCTAACTAAAAGTCTACGCAAGAAACTTGATAAAAGCTGAAAAAAACTTGCACAATACGATTAAAGTTAAGTGCATCGGTAAAAGTCCAATCAGTTAAGGTACGAAAGGCAAAAATTGTGAAGGATCGGCAGAAAATAAAATCATTAAAAGCTACATGAATGCAACTGGCCGATCTGATACAGCACTGGAGTATTGAAATCGTCACCACAATAACGAATAGCCTCTGTCCACTGACCACATTACTTACACATTTTTGAAAATGTCACAAATACATTTTTACAATGTTACATTTTTGAAAAATATGTAAATTCGCCCCGAACATTTTATGTATTTTGTAAACAGATGATATATCAACGAGTTAAGTTTTGGGGGGCTTATGTAAATTAAATCAACTCGATCAGTTTATTTAAAGAAGCGGTACTTTGCCATTCAGATGCTACCGCCAACCGGTGGAACTCCAATATGTGATATTGGAAAATGTGACATTTCTTAAGCCAGTGGACAGAGGCTATTAGTAAATACAATGTTCTTAACCATTCTGACGTATAAAGACAAAATCAAAATAAGCTTTACCCAGTTCCGCTAAAATAATATGGCGATTGTTATTAAATTGTCGTCAAATCAATTTAAAAATCGATACATAAATTCTATATACTCATAAGGATGAAATTAAATCTCAGATATATAATTTATGAGCAAAAATAATCGTAGAATACAAAAATTTACTCTTACTGATTCCGAAGAAATGATTGCCAAGTTCCGCTTATTATTGTCAAATAATTAAATAATAATTAAATAAATAGATAAAAGAATTCCATAATAATGATATTCATATACAAATGATTAGAAAAAATATTAAGCAATAACCATACAAATGTTTTTATAGATTCAACTATACTAATGCAAAAATGTTAAAAGTGCTACAATTAACGAAAAAAGACAAACTTGATCCAATATAAAATTGGATTTCAAATAAAATTTAAAATTTACACCATATTAACAGTAATGATTATAAGCTTAGGACAGACAAAATATAAAAAGAAGTTACAAATAAATCCCAAACCAGTCCAATTTTTCCTTTCATGAAAAACGAAACTACCTAACTAATTTTCAAATTATTAAACTAACATTCCATGTAATACGAAAACGGGCCATTACCGAAATCGTATAATGGTATATAAAAAATAATTCAAAATAATTTAAACAAGTTTTAATAAAAAAAGACATTGTAGATAGGATAAATAAGATAACCAACGATTATAATGTAATAATTAAAAGGAAGATTCAGAAAACATCCAAAATATTGTTGCAACACAATTTAAATCTGAAATAGATTTAATTTAAGAACATTTACATTTTTCTAAGCCAATATATTAAATATCTTTATAATTTCTGAACAAAGAAACTAAATAATTAAGTAACACTTTTATAGAAAAAAAAATTCCATTTAATAATATAGAAAAAGCCATTAATTTTGTTATTTTCGTATTTAATGGGAAATAATTTATTTACGCAGTGCGGTTCACTAGCTCTCTAGCTGACCGTTATGCTTACGCTGCATATCCCACGCTCCATCTGAGCGCATTTCATGCAAGCTACTCTCTCTCTCTCTCTCTCTTTCTCTCTCTCTCTCTCTCTCTCTCTCTCTCTTTCTCTCTCTCTCTCTCTCTCTCTCTCTCTCTCTCTCTGTGTTAACCAATAACAGTATTGGTATATTCATGTACCCATATGCTAAGCACGAATCTTGAAATGGAAATAAGGACATTTTAAAGATCAATGCAAAAAAACATTGACGTGCATCTTCTAAAAAAAATTCACTGAGATATTACATGACAACAGTGACATGGTCATGCAACGAGGGAAGCAAATGATTACAACAACAACAACGAGATGACCAAAGCTACCACAGCATGCAAAAAAAATACAACAAAATACGTCGAGGGCAATTAACCTGCCGGTGGAAGTAAAAGGCAGCCAAATAAAATGGAGGATCAACCCGACATCAGCGGCACAATTGAGCAGCAGCAGCAGCAGAAGAAGCAGTATTGTAACGAGATATACAAATAATGTATTTTATATTTAACACTACAGGAAAGTGCTTGGCGCACTCTCTTCCATATGATTTGTGCGATAGAACGACAACGCTGTTAATTTTTAGCTCGCTTGCACTTACTCTCAGCTCTCAATGCTCTCTCTTTATGTTTAGGGATCGTTTCCATGTGTGTGTGTATGTGTCCGACAAGCAAAACTGCACAAAAATTCAATTTTTTTCAAATGCTGAGGCGTTTCTACCCTTTTGAAGGCATTTTAGTTCGTATTTTAGTTCGCTATCGTTGGTAAGGGTACCCAAGCGTTGCCATGTGTGTATTTCGAATATTTTGGACTCGCTATACACGCATACTTGCATATTTTGTGTATGAATATAAGCATTTATGCGCTTGTGTGCCTGTGGCTTGCGTGCCTGTGGCTTGCGTGCCTGCCTGTCCCCGATGCTTATTTAACAAGATTTTAGGATTTCTGATTTAGTGCCTCTACACACAGACACACACATACAAATGTCTGTGAATAGGCTGATCATGGGCGCAAAAGAAAATACATTATTGGCACGCGACTGACGCGCGCCCTTCTTTTTAATGATTTTGAATGAAATTTGAGTAAAAATAAAAATCTTTTAAATATTAAAATATACCAAATTAAAAAAAAAAGGGAGCGATTATATATTTATAGCTTTAATAATTTTGGTGATCAGTCACTTGACCTCCATATGCAGGTGCTTGCCAAAAGTTGACCCATTCGACCCGACGAACTGCTGCAGGTAATAAGGGGTCAACATTCATTCATTAAAATCTCAAAAAATAAAGTCGACAATCTAGGATCACGTGCAAGGTTTCGGTATCAGTGATAACAATCTAACTAAAAGTCTACGCAAGAAACTTGATAAAAGCTGACAAAAACCTGCACAATACGATTAAAGTTAAGTGCATCGGTAAAAGTCCAATCAGTTAAGGTACGAAAGGCAAAAATTGTGAAGGATCGGCAGAAAATAAAATCATTAAAAGCTACATGAATGCAACTGGCCGATCTGATACAGCACTGGAGTATTGAAATCGTCATCACAATAACTAATAGCCTCTGTCCACTGACCACATTACTTACACATTTTTGAAAATGTCACAAATACATTTTTACAATGTTACATTTTTGAAAAATATGTAAATTCGCCCCGAACATTTTATGTATTTTGTAAACAGATGATATATCAACGAGTTAAGTTTTGGGGGGCTTATGTAAATTAAATCAACTCGATCAGTTTATTTAAAGAAGCGGTACTTTGCCATTCAGATGCTACCGCCAACCGGTGGAACTCCAATATGTGATATTGGAAAATGTGACATTTCTTAAGCCAGTGGACAGAGGCTATTAGTAAATACAATGTTCTTAACCATTCTGACGTATAAAGACAAAATCAAAATAAGCTTTACCCAGTTCCGCTAAAATAATATGGCGATTGTTATTAAATTGTCGTCAAATCAATTTAAAAATCGATACATAAATTCTATATACTCATAAGGATGAAATTAAATCTCAGATATATAATTTATGCGCAAAAATAATCGTAGAATACAAAAATTTACTCTTACTGATCCCGAAGAAATGATTGCCAAGTTCCGCTTATTATTGTCAAATAATTAAATAATAATTAAATAAATAGATAAAAGAATTCCATAATAATGATATTCATATACAAATGATTAGAAAAAATATTAAGCAATAACCATACAAATGTTTTTATAGATTCAACTATACTAATGCAAAAATGTTAAAAGTGCTACAATTAACGAAAAAAGACAAACTTGATCCAATATAAAATTGGATTTCAAATAAAATTTAAAATTTACACCATATTAACAGTAATGATTATAAGCTTAGGACAGACAAAATATAAAAAGAAGTTACAAATAAATCCCAAACCAGTCCAATTTTTCCTTTCATGAAAAACGAAACTACCTAACTAATTTTCAAATTATTAAACTAACATTCCATGTAATACGAAAACGGGCCATTACCGAAATCGTATAATGGTATATAAAAAATAATTCAAAAAGAAATCCTAAAATCTTTTTAAATTTGCATCGGGGACAGGCAGGCAAGTAAGCAACAGGCACACAAGCGCATAAATGCTTCTATTCATACAAAAAATATGCAAGCATGCGTGTATAGCGAGTCCAAAATATTCTAAATGCACACATGGCAACGCTTGGGTACCCTTACCATCGATAGCGAGCTAAAATGCAAGAATTTCGCATCGACGTGGCAAACCCTTTCTCTATTTCATATTAGCCGTGCCTTCAAAAGGGTAGAAATGCCTCAGCATTTGGGAAAAAATGAATTTGTGCGCAGCTTTGCTGGTCGGACAAATAGACACACACACACACATTGAAACGATCCCTAAGCATAGAGAGAGCATTGAGAGCTGAGAGTAAGTGCGAGCGAGATAAAAGTTAACAGCGTTGCCGTTCTATCGCACAAATCATATAGAAGAGAGTGCGCCAAGCACTTTCCTGTAGAGTAAGCGGTTCAAAAATACCATATGTATATCTTACTCCCTTACTCGCGATTTTGGACCAGATGCCTCCGATAGTTTTTGTGACAACGCTGTTTGTATGGGATGACCAGTCTATATGTTGTTTGGTTAGTGATCATATGTATATCTCGCGATTTTGGACCAGATGCCTCCGATACCTTTTGTGACAACGCTGTTTGTATGTGATGTCCAGTCTATATGTTGTTTGGTTAGTGATATTACTTATATTCATATTGTTAGATATCGGCTGCTGGGAATGTTGAGATTAGAAAAAGACTCCCAGTTCAGGAGCTGATTTCTCAATTTAAAGCTTCAATTTTATTGAACTAAACAAAAATACTGTAATTATTAATTTGACCTATACAGAGCGTGCGTCCGTTGACTTGGACTGACGCTCACAGACTTCACATGTATCGCAA